ATCGTCTGGAATTTCCGTACTTCATCGAATACAACCACCTATATCCGTGGATCCCGCTCTTTTCCATATGCGAGGTGTATGGGTCAGCAGCTGCAGTAGCATGTCTTTCTCTCCGCTTAAAAGTGCGCGGGAACAGTGCTAGAGGTAATGATCCCTGCCGTCTCTATAAGTCTCCCGCACTGCCGCACAGCCACAAGCGCTTACCTATGGCCAACGCGGCACTTGTCTGTGCCTTTTCACTTCCAGTTGGGTGTTTGTTCCACTGCGGGGCCTTGGTATCGAGTGTCTACCTTGGGGATAGCGGTGGATGGACCAGTTGTCGGTATGGAGGAAAAGGATCGCTGAAGTAGAAAAACAGCCGCTCAAGCATCTAGTAGCTGCGTTGAAGACTGTTAATATCTGGAGCACCCCAAGGTAGACACTCGATACCAAGGCCCCGCAGTGGAACAAACACCCAACTGGAAGTGAAAAGGCACAGACAAGTGCCGCGTTGGCCATAGGTAAGCGCTTGGATGGCTGTGCGGCAGTGCGGGAGACTATAGAGACGGCAGGGATCATTACCTCTAGCACTGTTCCCGCGCACTTTTAAGCGGAGAGAAAGACATGCTACTGCAGCTGCTGACCCATACACCTCGCATATGGAAAAGAGCGGGATCCACGGATATAGGTGGTTGTATTCGATGAAGTACGGAAATTCCAGACGATCAGATCGTACTGGAATGCTTTCCAGAAGAGAAAAAAAATCACCAAGCTACCAGAAATGCTGTGCGGAATTCGATATTTACCTGCAAGGTACTGTCCAAACTCTCGACTCGTTCTCTGACCAAGCCTTCGAACACAATGCCAAAGAGATGCTCTTCAACGTCTTCGTCCATTTGCAAGAAATTCTCTTGTCGCTCACGCCTTAAGCATTATGAGCAGCTTTTATGTATAATCTGGAAATTAGAAGCAGTTTTCACGCTTTAATCCATCCCATCAGGGTCCAATGTTGAAATGGCACTAATTTTGTAATTGTTCAGAGCGCTGGTATGACGCTGAACGTATGAGAAGAAGATAAATATGCGCTCAGAAAAAAGGTATTCAATTTAGCACACTGATGGAACGGTCTTAAGATCAGCCTAAAGCTCAAAATATTACTTGATATCGAATGCAGCCTTCAACAGCTGGTAGCTCGCCATCCTTTCCTCCGTAGTGTGCGAACGAAGATTCAGAAGATAGTTCGGAAAGCAATCGATCACAAGATCAGCGCATTCTCTGGCGTTCACGGCAGCTAATCGCTGAATGATACAAATGTATGTCTTTCGAAGAAGATCCAGCACGCTGGAGCTCTTACAGGAATCAGTTGGCATACAACTTCTGACACTTCCTGATATTCTTGTTGGGTAAGATCTGAGCGAAGAATGCGACGGATCACGGAGAAAATTCCCTGGAAAGAAAACAATAATATAAAATAGGTATAATTAAACAAATCTTGGCTGCAATTCGCGAACGGAATATGTGACAAGGACCATCGCGATTTGACGTGCTGGTGGGCGTTGCCTGCGAAATCGCCCAAAGGACGACCTTTATAGACTTTAGATGGGAACAACAGACAACCAACTTAACTAAAATAGTCCTAAGTGTCTACGGTTTTGCAGTCTGCACCAAACCCGGTGCTCCGATCACCAGTGCAAATCAAGAAAAAGCTGCGCCCACCGCGACAAAGCAGCGAATGGCGATTGTCTGGACCCTGCCCCTGTGTGCGAACCCACCTCGTTTTCTGCATCACGTATGTAGCAGTTGATGAGATCAACGAATTTCCTCTCAGCACAGTAAATAAATGTGCATATTTCTTTCCTGAATATTTTCTTATACTATGAAGTAAATTAAACTTGACACTGACTCATAATCTTGTGGAAAATGAAGCTAGAAGGAAAGTTTTTGACGTTGATGAAATTCATCTCGAGCTGCGCCACACATTAGCCTCAAAAGGCATTCGTACGCGATTTGGGCAAGAAAACGAGCTGAGTGGTAAACAAAGCGTAGTCAGTCTTCTTGTGCTCCCAGACAAACGTGCCAGTAACTAAACGGTTCAAGTGGATAATAGTCGACCAATTCGGCAAAGCCTATCGTACGGCAACGTACTTCTCGGCGAAGGCTGACACTGTCCGAAAATGTTCTTCATCTCGAGCTGCTCGGAATGGGGCCTAAAGGATCCTAAACAGCGCTGGAACGAGACGTTGCATGCTCGTGCCAGGGCTCGAGAACTTGAACGCATTGCTAATCCCGACGGTTTATTAGGGTAAATGGTCGTCACAAAATCAGAACAGCTGACTCCGCTACGAAGTGGGATAAACAATGAAAAAAACTAGAAAAAGAAGGGTTTTTCAGCGGCAGGAAGCCGATCGACTTCATCTCTCTTGAACCCGCACTGAAAGCGCCTGAACCGGGCCCCACTCAGGTATTTTCACAGTCTGTGACCCTGCGGAATCACCGTCAACATCTAACGACCCGGCTGACCACCTCAATATTGAACCTGTGATTGCTGTGAAGCTACGGCGTAACAGCCGTCAAGCTGAGCAGCTCTAGTGGTGTAACGGATAGTGCATCCGCTCGGAAAGCGTAAGGAGCAGGCTGGAGTCGCGCCTGAGGTTGAAACTCCTGCCTGCATTATTGTGATAGCTATAAAAATCACCTCATCGGTGAAGATGCCATACGAAGAACAGCTTTTCTGTCAATTTGTGGCACTGCTCTCAAAGTTTCGACAATAGCGAACTCTGCTGAAGAGTGCTGCCATTTCATTCGCATCAATGTGATGACAACCTAAACGCAGGTGTATCAAAAGTGAACGGTTGACCACTTCCATGGACGGATTCTGACGTATTCTAGGCTAACATCTTCAACAATCTCAACGGGTGTCACCACACCAGTAATGTCCACCAACTGACTGATTAGCAATAGGAAATGCACCAGTGCTGATTCATTTCGAAGTTCCATTGACAGTCGGCCGATCTAAACGAGTTGACAGTTTGTTTCAAATTCTACAAAAAACACAAGCTTATTAGGAAACAACTGTCGCCTATCTGTTCAGATTACAACAAGAAATGAAAAAAGAACTGATAGAACCAAAAAATGGGGGCAAGGGATTCGAATGAAATGAGGGGAATCATCCGCACTGGGCGGAGCTTAAACCCCGGATGGGCGGTTCTATCAACCAAAAAACATCATAACTATTCCGAACTAATTTGAAAACTAGAGAATCAGTGGAAAAGAGATGATGCATGATGATGCCCAAGCTCATCCAGAATGAGTGAGGGTACGCGTCCAAAGTGAGCATGAAAAAGATTCGGTGAATTTGGAGAATAAAATGCGAAGATGCACATCAAAGAAGTAGATGTGATCAACCTACCAGGTGGCTGGCAAGTCGGGAGAAAAGATAAATGGATAGTTGACCGATTCCCATCTTAAGCCGCTTTCAGACATTGCGCTTAAGGCGACTCGGCATTAGGGCGATCGCGCGCCAAGGAAGTGGATGAGCATCGATCTGCGGTAGTTGCTAGCGACTCGGAAACTCCTCGAATCGGCGACCATTGCTAGCCAACCACAATTCCGCTACTGATCGCCGAGTCTCCGCAATCGCTAGAGACCTGCGTCGATCGATACCTATACAATTCCTTGTAAAAAAACCAGGCGGTCTCTCGCCTATTCGGGCTATGTTTCCACAAATGGCCGAGTCTGCCTGTAGTCCAAGGTCAATGAAACGCGGGCATTTACTCATGAGGTCAATGAGCACTTTCTCCCACTCTTCTATTCTATCGAGACCGTGGTCGCTCGCGACATATGAATACGCCTTAGCACTGAGAAATGTCGTTCAAAAAGACTACTTTACTAATCGTTGCTGGTACAGACTGCGACAATCTGCAGCAAAAAGGCGCGAATCATCTTTCACAATTATAGAGAAGTAGCTCTGAATCTGGGTGGATACAAAACAAACTTACATTTTCAACAAGCCGTTGTAATCTGCCTTCACTTTGAAAAATCGGCGCATCAGCACAAGTACGAATCACATGAGTAAACTGAAAAATGGAGTGTTCAAAACAGAACCTCCGATGCTCAGTGCGCAAAATCAAAGAACCTGCTGAGCATCAAAAAGAAGCAAAAGCCTGAGATACGGATATGATACATCAGAAGAAACGCCATCCTTGCCTTTCAAAGAAGTGATACAACGATAGACCTAAAAAGCGCGTATCAAGCAAATGGCTCGTTTGCAATGAACTACTGGATTGACGAACCTGGACAGGTACAGTAGCTAGCTGTTCAGGTGGTAGAGTTCCATAGGGGTAAGCATGACCAGCAAGACAGCAATGTAAATACAACAATAATCGATTACCTCGCTCAACTTCAGAATCTGATAGCACTTCATTGGAAGCAAAAGATGAAACATCGGCTAACATTTCCTGAAAAGACTCATGTTTAGGCTGCAATATTGAAACACCATCACCAAAGAAAATAGGAATGGGAGTGACGGCTGAAAATGTATAGAATGCCTCAAAGACACTGGGCACGATGCCGGGGCGGGAGGATACTGCCAGTGACATGGATGGAAGAGCTGCGTGGAGGCGTTTGGCCACATCCCATTCAGCCCGGCACAGCCTACCACGAGCAACGTAACGGAGTCAAGACTCGGATCGGATAGCACAGACTAAACAGCTTTCCACCTTAGTGGATCCGGTGAGCCAGGGTTGGGGTATTTTTCCAGTTCTGACCACAGAAAATCCCTCCTGCATGGGCTTGTAAATTCCTGTGAAGCTATGCAATGCACGAGCTTATTCTACACTTGACAAAAGTCTACATGCCTATTGAAGATGTGACGTGTAATTTATCAGGGACTAACAAAAGAAACCAGAGAAATTGCAGAAAACTCCCCTCCCCCCCCCCGACTCCCGAGCCGAACAGCGCCGTGGATCAAGTAACACTGAACGTTCCATCTCTTCAACAGAAAACAAAGAATCCATCAATTACAAGATTCATTCAGAAAAGATGAACTACCTCCAAAGGCGAAAGATAATCTCCAAGGGCTTTGTTCATTACGTAAATAATTCCGTCATACAAACCGTTCTGTTTACATGTTGACATTACCTAAATACCGAATTACTTAGGTAAAAAGTAGAAGAAGACATACAACGGCATAGAAGAACACTCACATAGTGCAAATCGATGGATTGTATCGGAAATCGAACAACTGAGGCTTGTAATTGTGAGAAGTGTCCCTCTGATGCCAAGTGTGTGATGTAGGCCGAAACCAGCGCTGGTGGTGGTGACTCCAGTGTTCCATCCAATACAAACTCATCAAGAGATTCAAGAAATATATATCGAGATAACATATCGCGTTCTACCCTGCAAATTAAATACACAATAATGATTTACAGGCGGACCAAGTACCCAATTAAAGTCAGTGGGCAGGATTGCTAAAGGCGAGCTGTTGTTGCCAGAGCTATTGGTAGAGGGCTGCGAGAGGGCGTTTAGCCACATCCCACAGTTACTCCACCAGTGACGGTTGGGACAATTGACCGCCCCCAGAAATGTGTCCTCTGCCTTTAAGAGAATCTTATCTTTGACTCATGTGAAAAGGGAGAAAATGAAAGTAAAAAAGCTTAAAACAGGTTAGAACTACTTATCACCTTGGCCATATTTCGTTATAGAGAAAATCATACATCCGTGTACCAACACCGCCCAATTGAGAGAAGAATTGAATTTATGTCTGAAAGCAAACAGGCAACTTGCACGTCTGTTATTGCTGTTGTTGGCTACACCGCTGTCTTGCATGTAACCAATTGAAATTAAAAATGAAAACTGAGAGGCAACACAGTAATAGAGCACTTACCATTTAGAATTAAGGGTTAGTGAACACTACATATAAGACTAACCTTATAATGAGCTATAAGGTCTGACACTTTTCCTTCTTTGCAGCCGCTCATGGCCAAGTCGACGAGCCGCCTCATCTGTTCCGTAAGCAAGTTCGGAAGACGGTCCAGAAACTTCTGTTCAGCTCTTATACGGCCGCGATGGATATCGAGCAGATAGTAGGCAGGCAGACGTAATTTCACCTCTGTACAAGACCGATCATTGACACGGTCTTTGTTTTATTGATGCTGAGCTGGAGACGGAGGGGGGGGGGGGGGGGGGGCGGGGCATGCGGTCTCGGTACTGTGAGAGATAGCGCACACGGCCGCCTTCAAATAAGTTGTAATACCCTAACCTTGAATTTGAACAACTACTAGTTGATCGTCTTCAGATATGAGAGTCAGTTCAAATAGCTCGTCGTGAGAAAGAGCGATCAGGCAATCAGAAGAGCCTTTTCGGCAAAGCGACTGATAGCATGCTCTCTCAGCCAAACATTGCATGGCTGGACTCACATTACCACCAGTGGTTAAACCCTGAAAACTCAGAATCTGACCCAGAGCAAATTCAAAAATAAGCCGCTTGAGTCACCTTGAAATCCGATGTTGAGAACAACAGCCGGTATCGACTGCTCGGGCAGCTGTTTGTGAGAAGAAACGCTGCTTGTCAATCCTTGATTACCGTGAACAGGACCCATCGCTCCATCGAACGCGACCAAGGTACGACTTCGTTAGAAAGCCAAAGTTTACAATGGGCTGAAACACTGAATTCAATTTATGAGTGAATTTCTACTCACACTGGTTTGATCAATATAAATTGAGCAAAGGAATAGGAAAGCATCACACGAATATATGTAGGGAATATATAGAATCACATATCGGAGAGCTCAGGCACGTAAAAAAAGAAAAAGATGACACAAGTATCACAAAATCCAGAATTTGACCGCAGTCAGTGGGATGATAACGGGCCCAGCTCGAAGAAGAGGTAGAGGGGAGTGTTATGATGACTACGCGCCAGGGGGGTAGAAGACGAGCCGAATGTGACTGCAGTTTCCGGCTCACTGCCAGCTGGCATGCTCTTAACTCAATACACGTTTCCGTGACTAGAATGGCCGCTTTACATCTGGAGATGGGGAGAATCAACGAAGTGTTCCGGCGGTCTGATTGTCAGAGTTGTTGAGCTGCGCCAGTGAGGATGTGGCGTTCAAGAAGGGGAGGTGTCGGACAACTGTGTCTGGGTTTTCGGGTTTACGTAAAGGATTACGGTTCTGACGGGCGCAATTTCAGAATGTTCGCGCAGATACGCTCGGGCAGCTCAGACGGTGGTCGATTACCCACACCTTCCTAATCGTTCAGAAGGCTGGCATACCCTCAAAACTTTGACGCAAAGTATGACGGCACTTCAATGCTCCACTGACGGAGATGTACCGAGCAAACTGAACATTCGCCAGAATCAGGAATCAAGCATTTCAAGGATTGTGAGCCCTCTTTCATCTAAAACTGGGACTCGGGCTTGACCTACACAACAGCAACGGAGCAAAACTCTGGATAAGGCCTCTGGATTCTGGTTACCGCAGAAGCATTCGTGCAAATACTGTTTACGCTGTACATACATCAAATGAGAATTACGCGTGCGCCAAGCTAACTTTATGTTACAGAACAAACACGACGGCCTTCCTCTTCGTGCCAATATGTTGTGGGTTGAGTCTAAATATGCTCAAACTGCTTCCACGAGCTACGCAAATGCGAACAGCACTGCGCTCTCCATTAGCGCTCTTGTTCTGTAACATAAAAAATTGGTGGATTTCGTGAGAAATAATGTTCCTTGAAAGACATTTCCCATAGGAAGAGTAAAAAAATTGAACGAAAATCGAATCGAAGCGAAAGAAATTGTGAACGATTCGGTTAAACGTCACCTCTTCAATAAAATCCAGCAAGGGTGGAAAACTAGGGCTACTTTCCATTGGAAATACGCAAACCACTGAACCACCCAGACGAGTAGAAACAATCAAAATCTGGAAGGTTTATAAGCAAAGGATCCCGTGGTTCAATGAGTTGCACAATAAAGAGTTAGAGGTGATCATACCTTAGAAACTGTCAGTAAAGCTAGAAGAGAGTAGGGTAATAAACGCATGTGAATGACTTCTCCATTGCAGCCAGAGAATACGCATCGAATCTTCAAAATGGATCATGATATCAGGGGTGAAATATGAGTAGAAAATACAAACCCGCGATTTCCCTGCGAGCCGAAACTTCTGCAGAATTTGGATCTCGAACACTGATCCACCACTGTCGAGGGTCAAAATAGTACGACGAGAGCCAATGTATAAAATCTCCAACACTCCCCGACCTATCTGCACTGCATCTTGGATCAACTGTTCAACAGCGCCGCTTTTCGTGTTTATTATCTGAAGAAGTCAGATCTGCACTTTCGGCACAACTCTTTGTCTCCTATAGATCTTACTTTTACGAAACCTTTGCTGTATCCAACTGCAATATGCCCTCCACCACTAGAGAACGCTACACACGATGCTGAGCCATCTAATTCGCCCCCATGCCGGAAACGCTCCAAACGTCCCTGAAATAGACTGAGGATAGAGAAATAAGCAACAACATAGCGCATGTATCATGAAGGATTGCTGCTCTAGTTCTATGTACTTTAGCAATTCGATAAAATTTGTGTGCGTACAGTCTTGGCCAGGGAGGAGGTGAGCAAAGCTATATGATGCAGTCCCGCCGCTTGCCGAAAAAGAAAGCGAGCTGGCGAGACACCAGCCCGTTTTTTTTCCTTCGGCAGGCGAGAAGACAGCATAATACAGTTCTGGTCGTTTTGCAACGACTGTTGTTGCATAACCGCTCCAACAACTGGTGGAGTATAAATTGGCGTTGCGCCAAGCACAGCCCCCAAGACACCCCTGCATCGAAGCGATCAAACAAGGCATTAAATGGATGACTGCGTGAATATATTTAGTGTGTCCTACCTCTGCATCGAAGAGCAATAATGAGCCTTTGCTAGTCGCTATAGCGGTGTAGCCCCCATGGTACGCCACTGCTACAGCAGATCCATGCTTTCGATCGGAAAGAGACCAGTTGGTGAGATATCGAATCTGAAGCAAACTGTTTCGTAAATGTGCCTCATTGCGATATAGACTTTCACAAGACCGAGATTTCTAGATTGAGCAAGGAGACTTCACTGATCTAATGAAAACTAGAGCCTCTAACATGTCCAAAGGTAATTGCTGCTTATCGCCACAATTCGTGATGCGAGCGATGTCACAGGAATGTCGCAGTGTTGGTAGAAGACTTGACTCCAGCCAGGATTAGAACCTGGACTTCGAGTTCACGCTGCGTTAATACTTTGCGAGCCAGCGTTACGGAGTAAGCGCTCTGAATGAATCGGCGCTTTGGAAAAGCGTTTCATGCAAAAAAGAAAGTATAGGTCTCGCGTTTCAAGAGAATCAGCGTTCTAAACGAAAAGCACTGTAAAGGAATTTGCTGGAGTTTTAGAATATCCTGTAACACGAGACCTAAAACGAGACTTAAAGGAGACCTAGAAAACCACAAGCTTGAAGGGCCGAAGCGGCTGTGGTGATGTAGTTGTTATCACAGTAGCTCTGCAGGCAGAAGGTCCAGGTTCGAGTCCTGGCTGGGGTCATTCGCTCGTACTTAGGAACCAAGACGTTCACAGCTTATGGTGCTTTCTGAATTCTTTTTGAGAATCTTGGCTCAGTACAAAATTCACACCAGTATGTAGAGAGGGGATGTGGGTCGGCCGCTATACGTTGCAGCGACGCATGAACTAGCAGTCCTAGCAGTTTGGTTGTCTTGGCCCACTATAGTAAAGGCACTCCGAATCAATCAGGGCCTAACGCGCATATATGACCCTTCTCGTAACGACTCTTTCGTCATCTTCGCCACAACGTGGAGCCAGCGTCCAATATCCAAAAGAAAATAATTGTTTTTTTAACCCCTGAGCCTCTCGACAGATGCAATTCACGAAAAAAAATGGATTTTGTAGAGCTGGACATGAATAGTATTATATTTTCAGTACCTAATCGTCTCGGTCTTCACGGCACTGTCCAGCTTATAGCTCGCAGCAGCAGATGGCGGTGGACTGATATGATCAACACTTCCAGACAGGTGTCCATCTAGCAGTTCATCATCAAGTTGGCTTACCTGGAACCAGGAACTTCGACGAGCACTACCTCAGTAAAATATATGCCATGTGAAAGATCATCTCCTACCCTCCCTAAGTAAACAGTTAAATCAAGATTTCTTGAATTACCTCATTAAGGACATCATCTAAAGAAAGCGAAGGTAGGGAGAGGGAATCCGATATGTCCAACCAATCCTCTGCTTCCACTGAGCCAGCAATAGAGTTCATTTCATAGGCAGCTGGATATGCAACTCACGCATCGTACAAATTCCAGCTTGTTTTTCTGTGACACAAAATGTAAAACCAGTAATAAGACGGCCTGCCTGCTGTAGCAGCACCAACAGCCACACTGCACATCGCGACTGCGCGTCTCCTAGGCTTGCATTTTATTGCCGCCCACGCGAATCCCAAGCAAAAGTACTAGTAAGGATATCTCATGTCTTTCGGGAAACGCCCCAGAAACAGAAAGATAATAGCTAACGCTGCCATTCTGGTAGGAACCTGTGAATACAACAGTTCTGTAATAGAAAATAATAAATCTTTATTATAGTAAACCCATCCGCAGCAATAAAGATATGACTCAAAACCCCAAAAAATCAACAGCAGAAGAGATAACAATTGCCACGTAGATAAACTAGTCCCTAATATATTGGCATAAATTAAAGGGAAAAACAAAACCATAACAACATATGTTAAAGTGAGGCGTTGAATTCACAGTGCATAAGGCATGCTTTATAATAAAAACGGCATTCACAACAAAAATCACAGAGAAGAATCGGGGACTCAAAAAAATTTTTAATAAAAAATCTTATTTACTATTCCACATTATCACAATATTAATGGAAGAGAAATCTGTGTGGCAATACCACTGGGACTATTCCTCGAACATCAATAAAAAACGAATCAATCTCTGACTATCACATAATGATATGAGGCTCAGGAACATTGCTAGCAATGCACTTGTGAGGCAATACTTGGGCTCCGTTCAGATAGAGTTCATCATGTTCAGAGTCACAACCTGAACAACCCTTCTGAGTATCCAAAACAATCCTCCAGAAAATAGAGATGCGCTGTTCGGCTTGGCCGGGGCATTTCGCACTTTTGCTAGTTCATTTTGCTGTTGTAATTGTTATGTTATTTACAGGTTACCACTGGTAAGCCCTTGAGAAACTAGTACATGGTACAAGTGAGCCAACAGGTCAACCCAAGGCTGCTTGTATAAACCTTGCGCTGAACACACCACGGTGCCCCTACCATGCCGAACTGCGTTTTTAATGAATTAAAGGGGAATGTTTTTTTCGCAAACTTACCACATCATCTCCAATCACACTGTTGTTTTCAATGCGTACCCATCGCCCTATAGAGCATTTCCGTCCGATAATGCTCTGATTTATCCATGAATGTGTTCGAATAATAGAATCAGACAACACTGTGCAATGGCGCAAGCGAACGCCATCTTCCACAAGCACTCTCGGCCCAATAACCTAAATCGGGCAACCAATTATCGAAATTCGAATGGAAAAGTTGAGGACAAAAAGATGAAGAACGCGTAGATTGAAGGTAAACTTCAAGTACTGTAGCCATAATTACTACAGAATTACAAGAAGTCGGCAACCCCTAAAAACCCAGCACCACCCTGTAGACGAGTTCGTTACCTAGCTGCGGAACTTAGTGATTTCTCCATTTCCTACGCCGTGGTAGTATCCCTGTCCTACCTTTGGATAAAACGTTCTACAAAATACGACATTGTTCCCCAACCCCAACCATACCCATCATATCCTTGTACTCTCCCAACTTGCCACTGCTGCTAGCACTATTGCCTTGAATTTTTTTCCAAAAAGCTGCCTTCTAGCGGAGGGAGGATGTGAAACAGGGAAAACCGAAAATGTCAACAAACGAAACGATCTTTGCTCAGGCAAATATAGGCAAATACGACCTCCTCGTTGGGTACTCCAAGGCGGGGATCGTATTAGGTTGGCGGGGAAGTTCTGTCACATTTTTTCAAATTAGACTTTCTTTTTACAGAGAGGCGTACAAGATCAAAATTATACAGCAATGTTATTGAGAGATCCTTGCCAGTTTTTGGACAGTTCTTGGATGCCATCGCACAATGCACGCCGGCGCGACGCAAAGTTGGACATCATCTCAACTTTGACTTGGGCTCAAGTCGTGGAGGTTTTCTCGGCTGTATAACGGTTGAATACGGGAGGCGACTAGCAGTCAGAAAGAGCAATGTCTGGACTACACCGGTGCAAGGGGAGAGCCATCCAGCTCTATTGCATGAAGTACGGCTCGAACTTTTTTGACGGGGTGTGCTGCACCAGCACGTTGAAGACGGACTGTGCCGATGGATTTGCCGGCACAGTTTGTCGACAAGGGGGGGGGGCATTTTGCTTTCCATAGATGTACCCATCTAGGCAGCCGTTTCTCGAGTTGACACGTTTTAGGATAGTGGCTAGACGATCTTACTTCAGCTTCACAAGAGTTCACAAGTTTTACCAGAGTGAGATTTGTAAACCGGAACTAGGGAAGCAATGATAATACAAAATGCCCCCCCCCCCCGTCGACAAACAGCGCCTGCCCATCTGCTTTGGACGATTATCGCTTTCAGATCTCGTAGCTGCCTTGCGTACGGATTGACCGAGGTGGCAGCTTCTTCATTCAGCAGTTTCCCGACCACCTCTATCTAGAGCTGAGTTTACAGGTACTCCCGAACCTCACTTCGTCATTCGAACCGTAGGCTCCCGCTCTGAAGAGCTAGCGTCGTGGAAGATTGTCTGATGACTGTAGACATTGTCCTTATTATTATTTCGGCGTCTACAGTTGCCATGCTGACGCCAGGTGTTGATTAGAAAAATAGTTTGGAGAGCATTTTGAAGGGGTCGGTGCTGAAGGTAGCGGATAACATTCTTGCCATAACGCAGAATAAGGATGAGCAGGAGCCGAGCCAGTGACACTATAGAAAGATCAATCCTTAATGTGTAAATGCTCACATTACCGGCCAGCTCTCCTCAGGTAATATGCGAATACTTGGGTTAAAAAGGTATGACAGAACTTCTTGCCAACCTAATATTCGCCATGCCGTGTATATAGTACCACTCAAATTTGGTGGGAAGGCAAAAGTTGAGCGTGCATTGTTCAGAAGTCAAGTCCCAAACCGGTATCGAAGAGACCGACCAAGCCCAGGGTCAGCCCGCTATGGAAGGCAAGCATTCACATGCACATAAACTGGTATCGCGAGGCTATGCATATTCCTTGTCATATCCGATACGCTATTAACGACTCTGAATGGAAGCATAATAGGAGAAAGAGAGTGGTCGAGCTTTTCTGCACAGGGATTCGGAACTCTATTCCACGATTGTTTGTGAAAGTAGGAAATTGAGGCACAAAGGGAGACCACGTAACTTTACCACGAGGGAAGCCGAGACAGATAGTATAAACAAATATGTGCCACCACTGGAATATCGATTGGTGGTAACGGTATTCATTCAGAGGAGCCTCAAGAATGAGTAAAAATAGCTAGTTAAACACCTCCTAAAACAACACTGAACATAAAGGAAAAAACAAACTGAACACAAGCAAACAGCTTAGTCGAAGGGAAAGGGGTGTTAATGCAAGCCCACGAATTGCATATCGGGATAGTGGTGCCAAACCACAACCTATAGCCGCTGAGTGACTTTGCAGGGAAGAAAAAATGAAAAAAAATTATGGAGACCACCCTAAAGAAGGACCTGACAGTCCAACCGTACGAATTCTCTGGACCTGCTCCTTTCAGGCCAGCAAAGGGATATCCTGCCGCCTCTAACTCATCAGGCGTTTGTTCGCGTCATCCAGTGCTTACATCATGCAACGTTGAAAAAATGGTGCAAAAACTAGACTGACAGAATAGCCTCTGAGATTTGCTGAGCGAGGGAGTCGTCAGAACTGCTACTTATTGGGGGGCGGGCTGGGCGCAGCGGCCTCCGTTACTGCCTGTCAGCAGTGCAAATGTGGGGAACATCATAGAAACTGATGGACCAGACAACTTGAAAAATGACGGGAATGGTCTCAACGCGCGGGACTGTCTATTAAGAAGCGATCATATAAATCTCTCCGTTTTTTGAATGGGGCCACGCACACCATTTCCTACCAGATCATAGTACCCCGTAAAAATTGCCACGTCAGTTTTATCTGCGGTGTATAAGTCATTATTTTTATTCTCCTACACGAATATTTTTATGGAACCCACCCGAGGCAAAAGAGGGTTGAGTTAGCCCTCATGTAATTCAATCCAAGAGCCAATCTCCTACCTTGCGCTCCTAGTAGCGACTACTAGGGGGCCGGTTGCGCTCTATGATTGCACTACAGTACTGAAAGTATTAGGTTGTCCGGAAATGTTCTTTATGCTTTTTGGGTGTTAACTTTAAACGATCATAACTTTCTTAACACTCATCGGATTTAATCCAAATAAGCACCATTCGAATCAGCACACTTTTGCCAATGTGGCAGCAGTCGAGAAATCCCATCAAAGAAAAAACTGGGTGGTCGAGAATCCACGAAATCTGCGAAGGTCTTTTTTGCCTGGTCCTGTTTGATGAAGTATTTCTCAGCAGGAAAGTTCTGAAAATGTCTGAAAAGGTGACAGTCGGTTGGTGAAAGGTCTAGAGAATATGGTGGGTGAGGTAGAACTTCAACTCCCAATTCGTTCAATTTATGGATAGTGATTTGTGAAACGTGTGGGCGGGCGTTGTCATGCAAAAGAATCGGACCGGTCACTCCGATTGTGGGGCACCCAATTGTCGAGTTTTTTCACCTTCCCAATGCGTTCCAGACCATCTGCAACAGTGGATTTGCCAAGGCCTAGCTCTTCTGCTATCTCTCGAACTGTTTGGGATGGGTCAACCTTCAAAATCCCCCTAAAATCCTCGTCAGATATTGCTTTAGGTCGACCGCTATGAGGCTCACCTTCAAGGCTGAAATTTCCAGAACGACATTTGTTGAGCCATTGCGGCACAGTGCTTTCTCTAGCACTATTGGGCCTCCACACCTGGTTAATTTGTTGAGCTGTTTCGATTGCGGATTGCCCCAATTTATAGCGTCGAAGAAAAAAATCGTCCGAAGTGCTCTTTTCACATGCTTGAAAAAATCTTGAAAAAAGAGGGTTTATCAAGCAATGGTGAAACGGCAATTATACCATCAGATAGCGCAAGAAATTCTCTACAGGATGTGCTACTGAGAAGCAAGGCAGAATGAGTTTTTAATCAGCAGTGAATGTACAAAGATTAGGTGCACAAAACGCTAAGAACTTTCCGGACAACCTAATAGTTCCCATCAAAGGAGCACGCTGCAAACGTTCCAAGCAATTTAAACAACGGAAAAGCTATCATTGTTGATGAGAAAAAGCTATCATTGTTGATGAGAAATCGTTCTCTTAACACGGCAACAAGTCCAGAGCAATTCTTGATAACGCATCGATTGATGTGTCATAGGAAACATGAAATTCCTCGACTCGCAAATGATCACCTATCAGTGTTCTTGTGATTAGACTTTGAGAGGCAATCAAAGAATCACTTTTTCACTTTTTATCGCATCTTCAGCAAAGACGTGCTCCATTACACTAGGAAAAGTGGCAAAGACTGGCGAAACATTTGATTTGCTCAAGCGAACTCTTCTCTTACAATGACTAACTAATATGCCAAAAGTCACGGTAGCGAATTATTTCCGCGTGTTATGCTAAACCAGGCACTGAGCCTCAACACACTATGGGAACTGCTACGGGGACATTATATTGCAGAATTACAGGGTTTATATAGTCAAAGTCGACGGTGTCTGCAGCCTAATTCTCTTGGTCACCTGGGAAATTTAGAACACGTAGAGGTAAAGTCAACGATTCCTGATGCTACGAGCAGTTTCCAGTTGCGAGCAGGACTGGTTTGCTTTTTCCGAGTCGTGAGTTTGAATGTAAAAAGATAAAGAGAAATTGTGAAGGAACGTTAAGGAAAATGAAGTGCAAGCGGAAAGAGGCAAAATGTGTGAGGGGAAGAGACAACCCACTGTATTAAAAAACACAATGTCTGTATCCTAACCGCGGAAGACGCGTCTTTTGCCGAATGTGTGGAACGATGAATAAGTCACATGGCCTGCAGTAGAGCTGCCACTTCCTCCGCCTCAATAAAAGCGAGGAAAGGTTTTGAAGGCAGCAAATGCCCGATTGTCATTGACCGCTGCCACATCATTCTGAAAGGTGCATCACCCGCTCCGATAGCAAAATTCCGCAAAGAAACAGCAGTATAGAGCGACCAGAAGTGAGTGCACGTAGACCAGTCTCGCGTCTGGCTATGGTTAGGCGTGTGCTGGCCGTGCGCTAGTGCGGACAGAGCGGGGGACGGCACCTCGACTATCATTATCCTCCTCCCCGTTTCCACTTACTTTTGAGCAGAGGAAGTGGCCTACAGAAGCACCATTCACCTCGCATATGAGTGTACAGTTTGTCCTCGGATTGCAGTTCTCAGAACATGAAATTACAGCCAAGGCAAAAGGCTAGAAGCGTCTGACAGCCATGAATCACAACTAACCACATTCGGACCGATCTTGCAGTTATTCCCAATTGTTGCTGATGAATCTATCAAAACATTCCCTTGAACATATTCACCTTTAGCCAACACTGAAGGCTCCGTTTGGCGTTTATGTTCCAAGAACAACGACATTCCTTAATATAAAAGATTAGAACATGAAGCACAAAACGCTAAGAATTTAGCCAACCTTTGAGGAAATCCTTCGGTTGTCCAACGTCCATCCAGAAACCGGAGAGAACAAAAGCGAACAGAGTACAAGCCTCAGCCATTTTCGGAAAGATCTAAATAATCCAAAGATTTAGAAGATTGCATTTAGCATTTAGCTTTCAAAAAAGTATCCTGGAACTACCTCTTTCTCGATACTGGTTGGACGAAGAGAAATTCTGTCAAGAATGGAAGGGCTAAATATATAGAGGCCGGCGTTGATTTTGTTGCCTACGTATTCCTGAGGCTTTTCCACGAACTCAGCTATCATGCCATTGTGTTCATCAAAGACCACTACACCGTATTTTGAAGGTTCCTCGACCTAGAAAAGCCAAAGATTATGTTTTAATTCAGAAATAGCGTAAGGAGTGAAAAAAACAGTGCAAGGTTTACTGCAGAGACTTCATTCGCCATCTGCGGCTCTTCATGGCCGAAATTCCGAAAGACAACATACTTGAGTAACAGCAATAGTGCCTTCACACCCATGCGACAGATGGAAGTCAATCATTTCTTGGAATGGAAATTCACAAATGACGTCTGAATTCAATACAAAGAAGGGTTCCTCTCCATCAAGGTACTGCCTGAAATGAAGGAACAGAAGATGTAGACCTAGTCTTAACCGGTTTCCATTTTCCAAGGAACTTTGATTACGGACCTAAGCAAATCGATGGAGTGTGGGATGCTAGTCACAATCATGGAAATCACAATTGCTACTTGTATCTTCCAAGCGATTATAAGTGGTCAATGTTGCCGAATTTGTTGAAAACTTGTCCACCGGGCGCTTGTATCGTAGTTACCAGGCAATTTTCAGGCTAAACTGATATGACACTCGCGTTAGAGAGTCAAAATACCCATGGGGACAAATTTCGAGTCAAACTGAGGTGACAGGTTTTGCTTGTGTACCACCAGAGCTCTGCATCAGTGCAAACTTCGGTCGTTCATAACTTGGTAAATACACGTAGCATGTTTAGTTACCACAGTTGTAACCAGCATTTCGAACCTTGTCAGTACCGAAGTTTCAAGGGACGTAGAAACCATACCCTCGTAAGACCCGAAAGGGCAAAAGTGGAAGGAATGGACAGTTTGGGTGATGCTCACGAAGTGAGCAAGCTCAAAAAGGATCAGCTTTGGCGACAAAAACAATGAAACCTCATGACTAACAAAATCAATACAAAGGTTAATAACCTTGCAAGTGCAAGCGGTCCTGCGGTTCCTAGTGGTTCTTCTTCGAGTGAGAAATGAACCTGGATTCCTAGTCTTTCTGCATGTACCTTCATCTCTTGTTCTAACTGTTCTGCGCGATAGCTGAAAGATGAAAATGAGTGTCTCACTATGAACCAGTTGTTATGCCAGCACTATAATAAAAAGGATATAAAATGGATAAAGCTTTCGGCGTCAGTCAATCAATTTTTATGCCCCTATTCCGTTTCCGCTCAGAACCTAATGTTTTATTGGACGCTATATGGCCTGTACAATGGTTTGTGGCAATGAATGGTCATATGAAAATCGTCTACCTAGGTTTCTCACAAGAAGACAAATTCTACACCAACTTATCTGCACCGGAAGGATGAAACCTTGGTTGGCCTAAGCAGGAGCCGATCCGAGATCAAATCCAAAGACGCGTGGTAAGCGGCGGTACTTGTCATTATACCAGGGGTACATGTTCGCTTTACGGAAAATTTTTGGCAGATACGAGTCCTGACCCGCTTGTGCCCACCCCACCCCCGAGAGGAAGGATAGAGGTGGAAATGGAAAAGGCGTGTCGAGTCCATGATCCAAGGCGCCGCAAGCGTTTCCGCTCAGTTGACTGGATCGATTAATTTCGATAAGACAGAAAATTATGAAGGGAATCAAAATGAAAGTGGTGGAGCTGATACTATCGTGATAGCAACAAGCGAACTCGTCCTAACGCACGTTTTTCCGCTGTGGACTCGCACAGTGCTCAACTCTGACCGGTCCTATTTAAGGCTTGGATCCTATAAGGTGTTTTTTTTTGCTTTTTTCGATACACACGCTTGACGTGGCACCTCATTTCACATTTGAGCGCCATTACCTCCATTCTGTCATCGCACACACCACCTTGAAGCTGCGTTTTTCAGTTTGCTGAGGAGGTTTGGCGATTCTGAGCGACTGCGCGACAATTAAAGTACAGCTATTGATCTGGCGACGCGGAGATAAGCGACCCGGCGAGTTGGGAGACTCGGCGATCTGACGGCTAATGCCGTTTGGACTCCAGCAATTTCGGCACCGAGCTCATTTTTAAATTGCCTAAGTCACCAAACCCGCTGAAAACATGTACACAAGGGTTATTTAACATCGTGATTACAATTATGACACTCATTCTTGGCGCTGGCGCCAAGAGATGACACTACGATTACCTCCTAGGCTCAGCTTTAGCAGAGCGCAGACAGCGGCAAGAGTGAATGTCATATTCGTAATCAGGATGTTAAACTAACCCTATACACAAGTTTTTAGCGGATTTGGTGACTTAGGCAATTTAAAAATGAG